GCACCACTTTTTTGGGAATAGATCGCATTACGTGTTGGAAGGGATTCAACAGGGAAGATGCAGTGGGGGTAGACGCTGTCTCTTATACACATCTAGATGTGTATAAGAGACAGGGGGTGGCCCGGTGGCCAACCGGGCGGAACGACTGACCAGGCGGCCCGGCCCCCCGCCCGGGCGACGAGCCGGCCGCCAGGCGCCCCGGAGTTCAGCCTAGGTATGCGGTTATGCAACGAGAAGGACAAAGGCTGAATGTTGAAATCAGACACAAGACGAGAATAGCTCACAAAAGCTCCTGAGTACAATCAGAATCAACCAATGCAATTTTGTTACACATTAACCCAGGTTGACTCCCTCGAAGCTGACAACATATAAGAGGGCGTTTTCCTTGTGGCGTATGGGTGACCACATTGTTGCAGTGGTGTGGTTGGAAACATCTAGCACAGCGGCGTACAGATCATTAAGAAAGGCCGAGCTGTCATTAAATCATTATAAAGTTGATGATTTCCACCAAGAATTGAGTTCCTGGCTGTTCTTATTCCATGCGAATTAAGTGCAGAGAAGTATGTGCCCATTACTCCAGCAATTGCACCAAAGATCAGATATAAAGTACCTATATCCTTGTGGTTTGTGGAAAACAGCCATCTCTGTGCAAGATTTGTCATATCAGTTGTCCCCTCATCTTCCAGTGATAAAATGCTTTGTTGAACTAGTTTTGACTGATGTTTCCGCAGAGACTGCCGGTTGCAGTTGCTCCGTTTTGGCTCGGAGCTTTTCATTATCCATCTTCAAACACTCTTATGCAATTCATCTCGGAATGAGCTCCCTGCCGTGTTGCGACTATTGATAGTGAACATGCAGGACTCCATCAATCTAACACGAAGCATATCCTCCACCCATCAAACTCTCGCTCTTTCCTCTCCTCATGTTCTCATAAACACCGAGCTGCCTCTTCAAAACGCTTGCTCTCTTCTTGGCGGAACTCCGGTTTAGTTCAAACTTCAAAACGCTTGCGCGCCTCTTGGCCAACTCCTGTTTAGCTGAGATTTCGTGCTTATCCATTCGGATAGTTGGTCCAGCTTTTTGCTGGTTCAGCCTTTCTTGATTCGTTTTCCACCAGGATGGACTAGTTGGAGTGATTGCTCCGTTATCCTCATCCGTATTGGCCGGAGCCCGGAGGGGCAGAAGAGGTTTCTGCACAGTGGTTGAATAGCAGAAGTAGATGTGGGGATTAGAGTAGACGGAAAATATGACTTCAACTGAACGTTCTTTTGAGAAATGCCCAGGTTGCTGACAAGTAAATCTAACCCGAAGAGTAGCAACGTTAATTCAATAGTTTAGTCGACAGATTTGCGAGAATCACAATCTCTCTCGTGTAGTTTCACTGCTGTGGCGGTTACTGCGAGTTTTAATGCTGACGCCCAATTATGCATAAATATGGCTAACCAACCGAAAAATGGAGGATGAAGAAAAGCAAGGAACAGAATGACGAAGAAAGGATAAAAGAAAGAAGAAGCAGTACACAGACGAGCATGTGGCTCTTCAACAGACATGTCACAATGGTGGCCATGAGCATGCGTGGCTACCGAACAGACTTGTTGGGATGGGATCAATGAGATCATCCGCACCCCTGAGCAGAGGTGTTTAGTGAGAATAGTTCTTCATTCTCTCTTTGCTGGTGGTGATTTGTTTTGTTTTTTCTCTGTCCAAGTTCACATTTTGTGCAGCTTCTTTTTGTTTTTTTCGCTCTTTGTATGTTTATGCATGTAATTACCAACATGCAAAGAACCAAATTCAAAATCCGCACAGAACTAGGCCAAGGGTCGTAACTCTTGGTCGAAAGTCACATCTGCTGACTCTGAAAAGGCACTAGAATGTCTGAAGTTCGGTAGGCCCAGGGTGAAGGGTCAAAATGAGGCACCCTGTGCCTCTAGAAACAATATCAGACCATAGCAAGGGCATCAGTCAGGGCCGTCTTCATTAGTCTACGAGTGAAAGATTTCACAGGAGTTCACCACGGCCATAGATCCAAGGGCTCGCTGCAGACTTCAGAAACTTCCAAGGCCCACTAAATCCAGGCACCCACTGGCAACGAACAAATCTGGGCCACACAAATCGAGAAATCTCAGCCCTTTGAGGAAGCAGTCCAGGCTGAGTCAACACGACGAAAGTCCGGCCTGCCTCACTAGACTCATTCATGCTGCCTTGTGCTACCTGGATGCTGGAGTGCTGCCCCAGAGCTCGAGCACTGGTTAGACAGAGTGAGCTTGAGAGAGAGTGAGCATTAGATAGCCAAAGCGAGAATAGAGTGTGCCACACCGTAGCTTAGCAGTAGGTAGAGTGGTTTATGGGAAAGATCTTATCTGTCAAGAGAGGTGAGTGGAGAGAGAAGTAAGAGACAGAGGCTTACCTGACTTACCTGGTGGTGATTATTTGCTGGAGCCAGATGGCATTGCACTGGAGGGCTAGCTGGTGTATTTGTGAGTTGCTGGCGGAGGGGGCTTCAGCTTCATCATCTGTAGAGGAATAGATGGAACACCGAGGTGGCGAGAAGAGTGGAAGAAGCCTGGAGATTGAAGGATGGCGCAAGAACATTGGGAATGGTATTCACTGATGGTCACTGGAAGCTTTCATCCTCTTCTCCTATCCTTCTCTGGCATTGTCTAACAGGTAGGCAACTTGATGCTTTCTGTTGATAATGTCATCGTGGGACTCAAGGACGTGCATGCGGTGGAAATCTTGAGCTTCTCAAGAGTGGGTTCGTTAAAAACACGTGTGATCCCTTTGTGTTGTTTGTGTGTCACAGGATGTTTTGGACTTCCTGGAGAACCGGAAAGAGAATGTGTCGTGGATCAAGAGCAGCTCAGCAGGAATGGCCTTGGAGGTAGTATTGTGATGCTTCAATTTATCCTCCCCTCTCAAATTTGTACACTGATTTTGATCATCCTTTTTTGCGTTCCTTTTTCCTTTCTTTGTTCTCTTTCCGAGCTGTTGCTGATCCCTGGCAAGCATGTTTTGCAGAAACTCTCGTAAAACACCCTATTCAGCGTCCCCTTTCGACTTCAAGAAGTGAAACAAAAGGAGGATTCGCACCTCTTGCTGTATTGTTCTGTCTGACAAACAGCCGAGCTTTGTGTGATGCTTTGTTGCATTTGCAGATCCTGGACAAAGTGTTCACACAGCATATTCAGCGCCTTCAAGGACATGCTCTTCAGGAGAAAGACCTTGAGCCACCACGGTCGGTGATGGAAGCGCGTAGCATGCTTGCTCGCGATATGCCGAATGGTCTTAGCGAGTCCTATTCTCTGTTCTGAAGAGTGATTGCCGAACATTTGTGGGCTCCATTCCTTGGGTAAGCAGGAACAACCCATGTACAAATTTGCTGATTATGTAAGAGGACCTGGGATGAAGCTGTGGCAGATTGTTGGTCCCCCAGCCACTATCTTCGTTCTCCCTTGGCATCTTCTTCAGCACAAGGTGCTACATAGTGAGCTTGTCTGCAAGATGATCTTCGGTGATGACCGGTACTGCACCTTCTGCTTCATGGAGTGCAGCCTGTTTGTCTTCATGGTACTTCTCTCATGTTGGACGTGTATGATATGTTCATTCAGCTGGCCGACGGGATAGGTGCTTAGCTGTGCAGCTCTTTGGTGGACGTGGGGACATTATTATTTATTTTTTTAAGGTGATTACTTGCTTCTGGCGCAGGTTTTCAGAGTTTTTAACGAGTTTCATTTTTCTTGTATTGCAGGCCCTTGAATGCCCAGTATAAAAGCTTCCTCGATTTATTTGCCTGCCTGCTGATTCCCTCTGTCATAAGCTTTCAGGCTGTGATGGCACATTACCTCTCATACACATTTCTGTGTCTGCCAACTTATACTGTGTCTGCCTAAGTCTCAATCGCACTGTTTTCAACTTTTCATGGCATATGGCGGGGCTGTCTTGTTCCGTAGCTAATGAGGTGGGTGCAAAGATAGAGTCCTTTGGTGCACGCATCCTTGCCATGGGCATTGTAATATGCGTCTCCTGACAGTGTTTCTGGGACAAAAAAGTTGCATGTTCATCATATAGTGTAGGGAAACTATGGTTCACAGGAAGGAGGTTGAGGTCTCTCCGTCATAGCTATGGAGGGCTGATACCCGCAGTTACTCGTTACAGCGACTGTATGGATGGGCTGAGAAGCAGCATGAGGATGCCATGAAGGGGGCGCATCTGTCTTTGGTCAGCATGCTGAGCTGAGGAGTTAGTGTGGACGATGAATGATGAAGCTAAAAGCGACTGTACAGAAGGGCTGAGCAGCAGCATAAGAATTCTACGAAGTACTGAGTTGACAAGCTTGGACAGCGCCATGGTGCGGGAACCTTTCTAGTTTGCAGCTTTCTTCACAGGAGGTGCGAAGAATAGATAGCTGCTACATATGTAGGCTTTGGCTTAGTGCTCATACCTGTGTACAGGAGAGAGTTGGGGAACAACTCGGACGGACTGATGTGGAAGACAGAGGGTGTAATGATGAAGGGACTTGTGCGGAGAATTTCAGAAGTTGTCTGACCACTGCGGTGTGCTGGGCTGCATTGCTGCTGTGCATTGATTGGCCAAGAGAGACTAAGGGCATACTCACACTAGAACTTTTTTACTTATTTCTGGATGTAATAGCTGGCAGATGCATCCAGGTCCGGGCGTAAATGCAGGCAGATAGTGCTAGTGTGAGTACGCCCTAAGCCCTAAGGTAATCATGACAAGGTGAACACAGTTAGATTAGCAGGCAAGTGAAATCAAGGCACGCAATTTGTCGAGGGCGAGGCGAGTAACAAGCTGGTTAGTGAAGAAAACCATTCCAGCCTGTGGGTGCGAGTTATCCGGGCCGATGGTGAAAGCTGCAGTTTGCTCTTATTCTTCCACAAGCATGAAGATAAGACAGGTATGCCAGTGTGCGCGACTTTTTTTTTCATTTCTATTTAAAAGCAATCATTGATTCTTTTTACCTTGATGATGGTTCTGCATTTTTCATTTAGCATTCTGGGAGGTTCCACTGCCGCTTCCAGTCCACTGTGCAAGGCTGAAGGGAGGATATGGGTGTCGGCTGTGCTGCAGATAGTTGTTGCAGAAAAGAAGACTCACCTCGAAAATCCGGCGGCAATCGGCGAGCAGCCTTCTAGACGTGTTTATTATGTCCTCGATAATCTGACATTTTTGACAGGACACACGGTTCTTTTTCGAATTTATTAGTCAGTAGTCTGGCGTTGTGAGTAATTACATCGTCTTGGATTAGCTCCCAAAGGTCATGGCCGGTTGCAGAGACGGTGGTGGTGCAGTTTGTCGGGAGATGATTGTGCATTTTGTTTGCTTGATTGTTCAGCGTCGATTACACTTTTGGCAGTGGGAAGATGGTAGGACTTTGAGCCAGGGCACTACTATATAACCCCGGTTATTACATACGCAGCTGTGAGTTTGTGAGGAGGTTGTGGACATGGAGTGGGATCATCAATGTGGATCTCAGCTGAAGAGGACACACACGCTCGTAACTTTTTGTTCGACGAATTCTGAGATCCAAACTTCTTTTTTTTGACAGTTGGTAGCATGATTTTGAGCCAGGAAACGGGATAGTCCAGCTGCTAGTTCGAGAGGGGGTTGTGTAGAAATGGAACAGGATCATAAATGTGGATCTCTGCGGGGATGAGTACACACTTTCTCTTCCATGAGCTGTGTGGGACCAAAGACTTTTTGGACAGAAGGAATACCTCAAAACTCCCAGGAAGACAAGATTCCATGCAGCCGATAGGGGATGGGCTCGGTAATGATGCTGAGAACTTGCATGCATGTGGACAGAATCTCTGGATAAGTGTCAGTGGTGCAGAGAGGTCCAGGGTTGTATTCTGCTCACGATGCAAATTTGCAGGTTGTTGTTGGTGTATAAAGGAACCAGGGCAGGCATTCATCGGCTGGAACTTATGCAGACGTGTGGAAGCTGCTCATTGTGTATGGAGAATACAGGAGCCTACCATTGGTTGAGAGGATGCTGCCTCAGAAACCCATAGTTTTGGTGGACAAGGAGGAAGCTAGACTACTGATAATTCCCATCGGGGCTGTGTAAAGCCAGAGTTCTGTATATTCTTAAGCATCTGTCACAAAAAGTGGAGAGAGAGAGAGAGAGAGAGAGAGAGAGAGAGAGAGAGAGAGAGAGAGAGAGAGAGAGAGAGAGGGTAGGAGGAAGAACAGGAGGAGAACTGCTTTGGTGGGAACTCCAGGGGTGCAGCAGCTAGGTTTGGTTAGCTGTTTGCAGAGGCGGTGATTGTGAAGTGACCCGTGTGATTCGTTTAGAATTGTGGCCGAAAAAAATGTTTCTGTGCTTGAAGTTTCCCGAGTGTTTAATCTTTTATGACATATTGTCACTTTCCACTCTATGGGAGCACTTTCAAGATGATCAGTACTCTCGCATTTGCTATACCGTGAAGTATGACAAATGCATGTTGACTTTGTCAAGTGTGTTGATGCACATGTCGGCCTCTCGGGGGTTAAATATATGAGCAGTGTGTTTATTGTCTTGCAGTCATGAGTCAAATGTGGATGGTCCACAGGATTCGTCTCAACTCCACAAGCAATGTGTCATTTCCTAACCATAGACATTGTGGTGCATTCCTAAAGATACACTCCTGATGATTTTCTTGTCTTTTTTTTTTTTTTTCGTTTATTTTTCCCCAAAACACTGACGCCCCATCTATTCTGGGGGGCTTCAGTCCGGTTGCTCATCACTGGCAAGCATGCTTATACAAGAAAAGCAGCAAGAAATGAAAAGACTAAGTTCCAGCAACCCTTTTGGCTCTAGCCGCTTACACAAAGGGGAGTCTATTTTGGCCTGTCTCCCCCTGAAGCGGAGATTGTTTGCAAGGGTTTGCGGTCTTGCCGGGAAGCTCACTTCTAGCACCCACACACGATGGCACACACACGCATACACAGACACACAGACACACACAGACAGACAGACACACAGAGAGACAGACACACACACACACACACACACACACACACACACACACACACACACACACAAATCAGTCAAATGCATCCTGGGCAGACTGTTGCGGTTCAACCTCCTGATAAGTCGGTGAGAGTCCGACGAAACAGTTTGGCACAGTCCGAAGTGTGGGGGGTAGGCCCGCAACTTTGAAAAAGAGCAACTACTCTGTGACACTCTACTCTACTCTGCTCTACAACACTCTACTATACGACACTGTACGACACTATACTCTACTACACGACACTTCACTGTATGACACTCTACCCTACTCTACGACACTCTACGACACTCTGCTCTACTCTATGAGACTCTACTCAACGACTGCCTGCTGTACTGTACTCCATGACGCTCTACTACACTCTATGACAATCCACTCTACTCAACGACAGTCTACCCTACTCTACTCTACTCCACTCCACAACACTCTACTCTATGACACTCTACGACAATGTAGTCTACTCTACTCTATGACACTCTATTCTACTCTTTGACACTCTATTCTACTCTATGACACTCTATACGACACTCTACTCTACTTTGCTCTTCTGTACTCTACTCTACTCTACTTTATCCTACGCTACTCTTCTATACGACAATCTACTCCACTATACTCTACGACGCTTTGTAGCACTTTACTCCACTCTACTCCACTCTACTCTACTCTACTCTACTCTACTCTACTCTTCTCTACTCTACTTTGCGACACTCTACTATACTCTATGACAATCTACTCTACGATACTCTGCTCTACTCTACTTTGCGATATTTACTCTACCCTACCCTACTCTACTCTACTCCACTCTACTCTACTCTACGGCACTCTATACTCTACGACACTCTACTGTACTCTACTGTACTCTATCTTACTCTGTTGTACCACACTCTACTCTACTCTACTCTACTCTACTCTACTCTACTCTACTCTACTGAGTCTACTCTACTCTACACACTCTATGACACTCTACTTTACGACATTCTACTCCACTCTGCTCCATGACACTTTATGACACTCGACTCTACTCTACAACACTAGTGTACTCTATGACACTGTTCTCTACTCTACTCTACGACACTCTACTGTACTCTTGGACAATCTAGGACACTCTATGACACTACTCTATTGTACTCTACGACGCTACTCTACTTGTCACACTCCACTCTACTCTACTCTATTGTACTCTACTCTACTCTACTCTACTTTGCGGCACTAAACTCTACTATACTCTTCGACAATCTACTCTACGATACTCGGCTCTACTCTACGATATTTTACTCTCCTCTACAAGATTGTACTGTAATGTACTTGACAACACTCTACTCTACTCTACTCTACTCTAGGATACTTTAGGAAAATCTACTCTACTCTACTCTACTCTACTCTACTCTACTCTACTCTACGATACTCTACAAAAATCTACTCGACTCAACTCTACAACACTCTACTCTACGACACTCTACTCCACTTTACTCTACTCTACTCTACTTTACGACATTCTACTCTACTCTATTCCACCCTACTCCACTCTACTCCACCCCACAATACGACATTGTATTGTACTCTACTCTACGACACTCTACCGTACTCTACTCTACAACACTATACTCTACTCTACTTTACTACACTCTACTGTACTTTACAACACTCTACTCTACGACACTCTACTCTACTGTACTCTACTCTGCAACACTCTACTGTACTCTACTCTACTACAC